AGGAACCATACAAGAGAACATTGAACTTTCCCAGGGAGTGTGGCAAACTTCTTCTGTTGCTTCAGTGATTTGAGACTATCCCAAATGGCTGGGAAAATGGATGCTGCTAATGAGGTTAGTTCCATACTATAGTCTGAAAGGGTGGTCTTCATTGCTGGGCAGATGCCTCTCTTCTCTACTGTCTTTGTAGGCTACTAGAGGGGATCCAGCTGGCATAGTCACCATATGGACAATGGAAACTTGAACCCTCTGCAGCTTCCAAACTGCCAATACAGGAGACCCTCCAGACCTCCTGAAAAGTACCAAACATTTTTAAATGATTTTTCCATTTTTTTTATAAATAGATGGATCAATTTTTATTCACATTTTAATTTCTTTCTCATGCTACCCTTCTGGTGTGGGAAGTCCTTCTGTCTATGTGTTGCTTTTATTGATTAATGAATAGCTCTGTTTTGGCCAGTGGCTTAGCAGAATAGAACTAGGTGGGAAAACTAAACTGAATGCTGGGAGAAAGAAGGCGGAGTCAGTGAGATGCCATGTATCCTTCAGCAGAAGAGACAGAAAACGAAAATATGCGAGTAGGTCATGTCCTCAAGGTGATACACAGATTAATGGAAATGAGTTAGTTTAGGATATAAGAGCTAGTTAGAAATATACTTAAGCTATTGGTCAAGTAGTGTTTTTTTTTTGTAATTTTATTAAATTATAAAAAGTTTCCATTTACGCCCCTCCTCCCAACGCCCTCCCACTCCCCCCCTCCCTCTCCTCCTCCCTCTTTGGATGCTCACCTTCAAGTAGTGTTTTAAATAATATAGTTTCTGTGTGATTATTTCGGGAGTCTGGGCAGTCGGGAAACAAATGAGCAGCCTCTGACAACAATTTGGCACCAACATGGTCAAATAATCCACTTAAAAACTAAGAGAACTTGAAAAGGAATTCTACACACACACTCTCTCTCACACACACACACACACACACACACACACAGAGAGAGAGAGAGAGAGAGAGAGAGAGAGAGAGAGAGAGAGAGAGAGAGTTTAATGCAGCTTCTTGCTCTGTTTGCTGCTGCTCCTTTAAAAAGATGTCTTCCTGATTCACTGGTAGCAGGAAAAAAAATTGCCCCATTTTGAAATGGTGGCTTCCTGGATTACGCTGCCAGCACAAACTCTGGCTCTTTCAGGAGGCCGAGAACTTGAATGGGGTTTGTGGGCAGCATGCTACAAGCTACTTCATGGCAGCCTGGGCCAACTGGTTACCAGAGTTGAGGTGGTTAGTGTGGCTCCCATCTGGCAGCCACAGAGGCAGTGAACATGCCTCTGCCTTGATGAACAGGGCAGAGCCAAAAGGCAAAGCAGCCTTACTCTTAGTCATACCACTTTGTATTTAAAGCAGTCCTGGTCAGAAAAAGATTACAGAGATGCAATAAAGACAGATTCAGATAAAAAAAAAAAGATCTCTAAATGGGTCACAGTGTTGGATAAATGTACATAAGCTTGGGAGAGAGATGAAATAGAATATAAACAATTATAAAAAATAAATGGTAAATGATAATAAAAATAAAACAAAGTCTTTAAAGAGACAGAGTACAGACAGTCATAGATAAAAGGAGTAAAGAAAAATAAGCCACAAAAGAATGGACTATACACAGAGTCTGGATTATGTATATTATTGTGATTTCTTTGATATTTTTTACTTGAATGAGCTAAGTACAGAGAGACAAGCAATGTTTTAAATAATATAGTTTCTGTGTGATTATTTTGGGAATTTGGGCTGCCAGGAAATGAACAAGCAGCCTCCAGCAACACCTTTTCTCAACTGTGGTAATTCCTAGTGATACATTTCAGTTTGTGTCAGCTCATTGTGAAACTGGGAAAGCACCTGACAAAATTTCAAAGACTCTGTCCTCTCTGAGGATAAGCCCCATTATAGATTATCCCAAGTAGTCTGCCCTATATGTGTGTGCAGAAAAACAACTGGGCTTGGTAGGTAAACAAGTGATATACATACATACATATGTGTGCATACCTGGGTGTATGCCACACGTGTGGAGCACCCATGGAGACCAAAAGAGGGTACAAGATCCTGTCTAGCTGGAGTTACAGGTGAGGTGATTGTGAGGTGAGTGCTGAGAATCAAACTCAGCATGTGCCCTTAAGCACTGAACCATCTCTCCAGCTGCTTGCACAAGAGTTCTGTTTATATTTTCAATGGCTCTGTAAAGCCCATCCCTGCATTGTCAGCAATATCTCAATCATCTGTAAAAAAAAAAAAAAATCTGTCATTCTAGTGAAAAGTGCCACTGATTACTAATGGCTAATGCATGGACTGCCACTGCACTTCAAGCCATTCCCTCAAGAATGTTCATATGTATTTCTTCTCTTGTAAATTTTGACATACCCATTTCTCAGGTTCTGGAAAGGTTTTTTTTTTTATTCACATGTGTCTTTCCTCTCTGTGAAGAGCTTCAGTTCTTTCAGTACTGTTTAAATGTGAGAAAGTAAACATGTTGGCAAAGATGCATTACCCATGAAGGAAGAGCAGAGAAATGCTTCATGTTACCTTCTGCTTACAGCTCAGAGCATTCTGCGTGCTCACACTACAGGATCCCCTTGATAATTTTTCAAATAATGTGTGTTCGGTACAGAGAAAGTGAGAAACAAAAGTAACACAGGAAACATCAGCAATATAAATGAATAAATCACAAAACATTATAAGGCACATTGTCCTAATTTTATCACTGGAGTATGAGTTTTCATCTCAGTACAATTATTCACCCATCTAATATATAAATTCATGTTTATTTTTGGAGGATTCAATGCAGAAATATACTATATACAACAAATTATAATTCATGTCTTTGATAGTACTATAGGTGCTAGACTGTGTAATACATGAAAATTTCTTAAATTTTGAAGCAATTGTAAATAATGAATTTCAGAAATTAATTCCTAAGCCTTATTGAGTAAAAAGTATATAAATAAAAATACTCAGTTGATACATAGAATTATACCCATAACCTGGCATGTTCCTGAGTCTATATCATAATTCTTTATTGATTGTTTGGGAATTTCACATCATGCACCCCAATCCTGCTCGCCTCTCATTTCCTCCGTATCTGCCCTCATCCCTGCAGAGTCCCCCCCCAAAAAATCCCTCAAAATAATTAAGAGCAAAACAAAACCAACTAATCACCCCACTCCTCGATCTTTCTAGTCTCTCCAACATCTTTTCATTCACCCTAGTGTCATTGGGAGCTGTGTTGTATTAAGCAGCATACACTTTTGTCCAGTCAGCACCACCTGCAAATGTTTATTCCAAGCAGTCATTGGTCTGAAGTTCAAGACCTAGATTCTCTGGCATACTATCATCGCTGGATCCTCACCAAAACTCCTCTTGGATATCCTTCTTTTGTCCCAAGTCATGAGGGTCCTGTGTCTATCATTCCACAGAACCTACACTCACTCCAGCAGATCACAGATGGGGTAGATGTTAGGGTGGGCCAACTCAAGGGCCAAAATGTGGGTCTATGTGCTAAGTGAGCTGGTCAGTCCAGGTCACTGAACCATCCCTTCATGAGCTGCTGCCCAGCAAGGGGTAGGGCAGCTATCCCAGGGCCACTGAAGGTCAAGGATGGCTCAGCAGGGCCCCCAGATCTCACCACACATGGTTCCTATAGCACCCTGTGGTAACACAGGACATAGACATCAACACAGACCAACAGTCCCAATTGCAGTGGACTACAGACCCAGAGGAGGCCTCCTCAGCAGCAGTGAAGGCCTGGACATCACCATGGCCCAGGTGACAGCACAGGTCATCCTGATAAGTATGGCCCTGACAACAGCTTGGTTGTTAGACATCAACATAGTCTCAAGTGGCTGACTAGACCCCAGACACCCGCACATCCCTGAGTGGTAAGAGTATCCACATATCAACTCAGACCCTGGCTGCTGCAAAGCCACAGACACAGACATGGCCCTAGGCAGCAGCTCAGGCCCAGATGTCACCATGTCCCCTTATGTTAGTGCAGGCTACTTAGATCTGTATGTGACTGGCTACTGCACGACCCTCAGACACAGAGCTGGCCTCAGGTGATGGCCCAGACACTGGGTATTTGAATGGCCTTCAGTGGCATCAGAAGTCACAGGCATCAACAAAAACCTGGCTACGGTAGCACCACAGACCAAGATATATCCCTGCACCACAGCCTGAGTGTGATGGCAGCTCTGGCCACTCATTTCAGTATAGCCCCAGCAGCAACATAGATCTTGGACTGTAACATCTCTATGTCTTAATCAGGGAACTACCTCTGAGACCAAATGAGACCTATCTCAGAAGATTTGTATTTCTATAATGGTTAAGGATGTTGAGCATTTCCTAAGTGTCTTTCAGCCATTTTAGATTCCTCTGTTGAGATTTCTGTTTAGGTCAGTGGAATACTACACAGCAGAAAAAATGACATCTTGAAATTTACAAGCAAATGGATGGATCTAGGAAACATCATAACAAGTGAGGTAACCCAGACCCAGAAAGACAAATATAATATGTACTCACTCATAAGTGATTTTTAAACATAAAGCAAAGAAAACCAGCCTACTATTGACCATCCCATAGAACCTAGACAACAATGAGGACCATAAGAGAGACATACATGGATCTAATCTACATGGGAAGTAGAAAAAGACAAGATTTCCTGAGTAAATTTGGAGCATGGAGACCATGGGAGAGGGTTGAAGAGGAGGAGATAAGAAGGGATGGGAGCAGAGAAAAATGTATAGCTCAATGAAATCAATTTAAAAAAGAATAAGGAAGAACAAGAAGATGCCACGAAAAGGCTAGAAGTAGGAATGCAGAGTTTTCTTTTATAGACGACGAAATGGAGGTAGTTAATGCTAAAGTAACTACTGTTAAAGATAACACTGATTAATACTTGAAAAGACAGAATGTTTGAGTTCTTTTTGATATTGTACCTTTAGCTACATCCCAGAGCAGTACCTGGCAAGTGTGTGGAAGGTAACAAGCAATGCTGGGAATATTGATGTTGGAAACAGTATAAGGTTGATCTTTATTCCTCCCTTCATTGGTGTGCAAGCTGTATTCAATGTGGTGAGAGATTGTGGTTGCTTCTGTCCTTATTCACGGACAACTCACTGAAGGCAGCATGGCAAAACTAATTTGAACACGACCCTGCCAAAACAAGGAATAACACAAAGTTGATTAACAAGATTTGAGCAAAGTTCCAGTGGATTTTCAATTCGATGATGTAGGAGAGTCTTCTGTCTAAATGTTGCTTTCATTGGTTAATTAATAAAGAAAAGTGCCTGGCCTGATAGGTCAGAACATAGGTAGGCCGGGAAGACAGAACTGAATTCTGGGAGAAAGAAGCAGAGTCAGGTAGAAGCAGAGAACTACCTGCCATGAAGTTGCCAGGTCAGACATGCTGAATCTTTCCGGTAAGCCACAACCTCGTGGTGACATATAGATTATTAGAAATGGATTGAATCAAGATGTGAGAGTTAGCCAAGAAGAGGCTACAGATAATGGGTCAGGCAGTGTTTAAAAGAATACACTTTCCTTGTAATTAATTCGGGGGTAAGCTAGCTGAGATTCGGGCGGGAATGCAGCCCGCTGCTCCTTTTACAATTCGAACATGCTGGATTTTAAAAAGGAGTACTTAATAGCACAAAGAAGAGTTTTAATAACATCACAGTGTAATGAGCAAGTGTTTGCACTGAGAATTCACCTGGTGTTGATCATAGCTAGTCATTTCTACTATGTATTGCAAGTCTGGTCATTTGGATGAATGTGTGCAGAAGTTTTCTAAGCTGAGAATGATCACTTGACTGTGTCTTTTATATGTGCAGAGGAAGAAATAGGTTATCAAATATATGTAGCACCTCTACACTATCTCTAAAAGGACATGGATGAAATGATATTTATGGACATAAAGAAACTAAAGACTGTTTCCCTACCTTGTGATCCAATGGGCTTAATTATCTATAACCTTTGCCCTTGGACCTTCAAGGAAACTTTAAGGAAAAATAAGCCACTGAGAATACCTTGACATTAATATAGTATTTAATGTTAACTATCTTTAAAAAAACATAAAAGAAGTAAAATTTCTACCAAATTTTATTTTTCCCTTTGCAAATTGATCTTAAAACACATGATTCACGAACCTCCACAGTTCATGCTGAGCCCAGATGACAGGAGCAATCATCACAGATATAATTACAGTCCTTGATCCATTTTCCTTAGCAGAAATGTTAATGGCTGCAGCAAGAAAGTGTTCGATGAAATCAAAATATAACCCCAGAATTACAGTGATATCTCTCAAGAAAAATGAATGTAATACAAATATAACCTTGGAACAACTTTCACATTTCTCAAGCTAATGTAATTCATATTTATTAAAACATGCAATTTACCTACAGCTCCTATAATCACAGCAATTCTCACATTAGCATAGGGCACATGCTCCTAACTTTGTAGTCTGACAGCTCATTAAACCAACATTTTCTTGCTGTTGCTGTTACAGTCTTGATTTTAACATTTAAAAATCCTAAAAGAACATGAGGAAATAAATTGAGGCTGATTCTTTTGGAAAGAAAATTCTTCATTTTCAACTCACGTATTCCTTTTGAGGTAGACTCAAAATATTAGTATTTACAATATTTCAAGATTCATATCAGGCCCATGAAAAAATAACTTACTATGATGTCTCTGAAAAGACGCCCGAATCACCCATCCAGCACTTCACGTCAAATTTTAAGGTGCACATTTTCAACCTTCTAGTAGACACCTGCTTCAATATAAATGGTCTTGTTTTTAGTACAGTATCAGCAACAAATTTTAACCAAGCAACTCTTCTGATTTTCATTTTCCCCTTCTCTTCCATCCTGCATGCAATAAATTACCAAGTCTTTTCCATTGCATTATTATTCCTATTATTTATTTCATATCTGCTATCCTAACTTAACTACCTTATCAAAACTCAAATAAAGAGACTGAATCCAATTACAAGCCCTGTTCTATGCTGTATAAGTAAAACACACACATGCCAAATATAAGAAACCCAAAGCCTAGTCGGTTCAATTAACACTTCACTTTAAAGACCCCCATGACAACGTTATATCATGAAGCAGCACACACCATGTGTTATAACACCTGTGAACATGCAAAACTTCAAGGTCTGTGGCAGAAGAAGGCAGTCATGAGTCTAGTTATTGCTCTTCTACCTGTCCCATTTATGAACATATATAGCAAAACCATTATCCTTCATGGAACATGTTGGAAAACTCTTTAAAGCATATGTATTACAGGGATACATTTACTCACCAATCTCAGCTCTGAACAAAGGTGTTAGAAAACAATGCTAAACTGAAGACCTGAAAAAAAAATGTGTCCTCCTTCTTAGGTTTACAGATGAGAAGTGCTATTTGTAACACAATGAACACACTGAGTTCAGATCTTGTAAGGTGCAACCATTCTCTGATAAAAGGAACCAATGTCCCATGGAGAAACACCTGCTTCCAAGAGTGGGACAATAAGAAAAATGAGACTTGAACATCTAGTAATGTCACAGAATGAGGAAGTTCTAGGGAAAAAAAAGTTACGCTGATGGACACATGTGAGTGACACACAAGGATCTCTCAAGCTCACAGATGTAAGAAATGACATCAGAGGTGCAGATCCAAAAGACGAGGTCAAGAGTGTGGATCTCTGGATCCATGTCTACATTGTTAGTGTTTGAGTATTCAACGCAGAAGGATGGCAAGGGCAAACTGGATGCATGAATCTCTGGATCCAAGTCAACATTGTTCGGGAATGAGAATTCAACCTGGGGTGATGGCAGGTCCAAACTGGGTTTCCTGATTTATCTCACTGAGTCTATGTGTTGTAAGATAAATTCGTTTTCCTGTTTTTGATAATCATTACAGAAAAAGATCCAACAATGTCTCAGGTAAGTTATAGCAAAACAAGTAAAAAGGTACTTCCCATAATTTTAAATCAGGGAGATAAAGAGCAAGTTTTGCGCTAGTAGCTAGAAAATGCCAGAACACTGTGGATCAAGAACTTGTTCATATTTATAAAATATACATCCTTCCATGAGTTCCTTTGGTGCTAACCTCAGGGGCATGTTTCTTCAAATATTCTGTCTGTGACTTTGCTTTATTATTCAGAATATAGTTCTCATCGACTCATAAAAGAAAAACTACTGACTAATAAGATACAAAATAGCTTTTTTAATATGCAAGAGGTCTAAAACCACAGAATATCTTTGTAGTGGGGAATCATATTCTCAGTTGGCCATGTGTGTAGAGCAAGTTCTTTTTTCAAACCACTGTTACTACATCTGAATTAGCATAATCAGGATACACCCTGTCAGATGCCAATGGTGTTCACAATCCTGGATTCTATTATAAAATATGAATGGATATCATGTGCGTTCATCAGGGTTGTGTCTTGTTCTCACATTATTTATTCATTTAACAAATATTCACTGAGTACCTACTTTAAACAAGTTCCCTGATTTGAGACTTATATTCTAGAAATAAAAGGTCTTTATGTATATAAGCCAAGCTCTTTGAACCTTTGAAAATTCTTTTTTCCTGGTAGGGTCATCTTGCAAGCAAGAAGCTGTTTTGCTTTGTAGTTCACTTACTTGAATATATATATATATATATGAAAATTTTCATTTGGGGTTCATGATTCCAAGGGAAGGAAGACAGGTAAATATGTTGCTGGAGCAGTTACTGTGAACTCACATCTCTTCCACAAGCAGAAGGCAAAAATGTGCCAGCTGGGAATGGCATGAGCCCAAATTCAATGACACATCTCTTTCAACAAGGCCACACCTCCTAATCTTTCCCAAACAGTTTCACCAACTTAAGACAGAGCATTCAAATATATAAGCCTATTCAAATATATATCTCATTTAAATCACCATATTCTACTCCCTGGCCCCATAGGCTATATCATAAAGCAAAATGGAGACCTATGAAGTTGGAGTTACCTGAACATTTAAGTTGTCAAATGTACATAAGATTGACAAACTGCAGGTGCTTCTATTTTGTTGATAGTGAAAAAAATGCAAAGAGAATCTTACTTATAGTCTCTGCCTTTCAAAATTAGTTTAGGAACAGGCAATAGGTGATTGAAATAAAAGAAGCATGACTGATACTTGATCTAGGAGATCTAGTTTTGAGAGGTGACATTAAAAAAGAGCACTCACTGAAAAAAAAAAAAACAGTGAAAGTGTGGAAAAGGGAATGAAAATATTAGCTGAGTTACCTGAAAATGGGAAGATGTCAACTCACCTTATGGAGCATCACAAAGAGTTCTCCACAAAGTCTCCAAGCACAGAGGGAGAAATGACGCCAGTGGCCTTCACAGTGAATTGTCTCCCAAATCTTTATTCTCTTGTCCTTCTTATTCAACGGGAGTAGGCAGACCTCAGTTACCTGATAGGGTGAGAAGGACACACTTCAGGATAGGCAGGCTTTCTGAAATGCAGGTGTAAACCTGAATGTATTATTCCTCAAACAGTATATTAACATTTAAACCCTTCTAAAGAAAATATTCTTATTTCATTTGTAAAACCCCGATGCAAATTCTACTGCTTTGAAAGCAAAATCCATTCAGACATACTGTGCTAGAGCTGTCAAATGCATTCTTCTTTGCCAAGAAAAAGGGCTAGGAAGAGCTTTTGAAAGAGCTGGGTTAGCTTGAGTCTCCAAGACAATCCATGAAGCAAGGATGGAAAATGCAGGCATCTCAGAAAAAGCCCTAAAGCGAAAGAAAGATGATGCCTGTCAGTGAAAATTATGCAACTTGATTATTTGCTCAGAAAAGGGGAAAAGCTCCAATAAATTTCATTGTTTTCCTTTTGGCAGGAACTCATATTTAGCTTAGATACTCAGAGTCTATCATTGCTCTGCAGAACCAAATACATTTAAGTATAAATGGCGGAACTTAATATAAATTATCATGAAATTCCCAGGAAGACATGCTGATAATTGTCACTGAAAGTACCAAGTTCCTTAGCACTCCTTCCATATTGACAAAGAAAGTTTATTTCTTCTAGGCTATCATTTTTTTTCAAACTGCTTTGAGGCTTTTGAAAGGTTTGTTAGGATTTTTCAGAAGCAATGCAAGGGTTCAAACGGGTTCCTAGAATTTGGTTCTTATCAGAGGGTGCATTTCTGGCCAGTTCTGTTCTATTGTTCTCCCTCTAAATTGCATTTGCATTCACATTGTTCCACCTGAGTTCTCCCAGCACAAGTGAGGAGCAAACCATTTGTTTAGCAAATATTTATTGAATAGCTTGTGGTCAGCATAGTCTATGGCAAATAATCAGTGTTCAATAAGTCATCAAATTGACATTAAGTATGTGTCCACAGTAAGGGCACCCAATATCCATTTGGGTATTCTACACAAAGTGTATGAAATACAGAATCTGCCTTTAAACAGATTGAAGAACACAGGAGAGAACTTGTATATAAAAGTCATGGGCAAGACTGGGAACATAGCTTAGCCATCAGGAAAGCACCTGTCTCATAAGTATGAGAACATAAGATAGATTCCCAGAACCCACTTAAAGTGTCTGGCACAGGTGATGGCATTTATAATAGCACTGCAGAAGCAGAGAAAGGGGAATCTCTGGCATTCACTTGCCAGCCAGTCTTACCTAATTATTGCAATCCAGGCCAATGAAAGACCAACCTCAGATGGCATTCTGAGAACGAGACCCAAGGTTGTTCTCTACTATACAGACACACACACACACACACACACACACACACACACACACACTTTCATAAGCATAGAAAAGTACCCCCAACATACACAAACATGCACACACATACACAGACACATCACTGAAATCCAGAACATGAAGAGTACCATTTATTGAGAGTGTCTGAGAAATATTTCTGATTAAGGACCTCTTTGATTGTATTTAGTTTTGTGAAGATGTAGAACTGGGTCATTGTTGGCTGAAGGAATGAACAAGTATGTAAGTACAGAGTTGTGAATCATGTGGTCTTATTTCAGTCTCCTGCAGCAGACAGAGAATTTGCCACTTAGACTGCAAGAAAGAACAGCAAAAAGGGTATGACAGAAAATTATCAACATGAGGATCAATTTAATATGATTCTTTTCTTCAACTGGACTGTTTTAGATATCCACAAACTCTAATAACTAGTTATGTAAAGAAAATTAAGTAGAAAAATTTCTCTTGAGTTTCTCAAAAAGTAGCAATACCAACTAGCATGTGACTCCACATTCTCAATATAAATGCTGTGATAAAGGCCGACAAGATAGAGTGGCATCTGACTGTATCTAGGCTGTAATGTCAGGAAAAGCTTGAACTCAATTCACCTATAAAAAGACACAGGCTAAGAGAATAAATACAAAAGCAGGATCAAGCTGCATACAAGAAACACACCTCAACCTCACAGACAGACATTACCTCAGAGTAAAAGGCTGGGAAAAGATTGTCCAATCAAATGGACCTAAGAAACAAGCCGGTGTAGCTATCCTAATATCTAACAAAATAGACTTCAAACTAAAATCATTCAGAAGAGATGGAGAAGGACACTTTATACTCATAGCAGGAATAATCCATTAAGATAAGTCTCAATCCTGAACATCTTTGCCCCAAATACAAGCACACCCACATGTGTAAGAGAAACATTACTAAAGCTTAAATCGCACATCAAACCCCATACACTAACAGTAGAAGACTTCCACATCCCATTCTCCTCAATAGACAGGTCAGCCAGACGGAAACATAACAGAGAAATAAGAGAACTAACAGATGTCATGACTCAAATGGATTTAACAGACATCTACAGAACATTCCACCCAAACACAAAAGAATATACCTTCTTCACAACACCTCATGGAGCCTTCTCTAAAATGACCACATATTTGGTAAGAAAGCAAACCTCCACAGCTACAAAAAATTATTTGAGTAACCCCCTGTGTCTTATCAGATCACCAGAGAATAAAGTTAGAATTTAACAACAATATTACTCTCAGAAAGCCTAAAAACTCATGGAAATAGAACAGTCAACTACTTCACCACCCCTGAATCAAAAAAGAAATAAAGAAAGAAATGAAAGTCTTTCTTGAATTCAATGAAAATGAAGGCACAACATACCTAAACTTATGGGACACTATGAAAAAAGTGCTATGAAGAAAGTTTATAGCACTAAGTGCCCACATAAGAAAAGTGGAGAAAGCTCACATTAGTGACTTAACAGCACACCTAAAAGCTTTAGAACACAAAGAAGCAGACTCACCCAGGAGGAGCAGAAGACAGGAAATAATCAAATTGAAAACTAAAATCAGTAAAATAGAAACAAAGAAAACAGTACAAAGAATCAATAAAACAAAGAGCTGGTGCTTTGAGAAAATCAACAAGATAGACAAACCCTTATCCAAACTAATCAAAAGGCAGAGAGAGAATATCCAAATTAATAAAATCAGAAGTGAAAAGGGAGACCTAACAACAGACACTGAGGAAATCTAATAAATCATTAGGTCATACTAAAAAAAACCTGTACTCCACAAAATTGGAAAATTTAAAACAAATGGACAATTTTCTGGGTAGGTACCACATACGAAAATTAAATCACAATCAGGTGAACAATTTAAATAGACCTATAACCTATAAGGAAATAGAAGCAGTCATTAAAAGCCTCCCAACCAAACAAAACCCAGGGCTGGATAGTTTCAGTACAGAATTCTAGCAGAACTTCAAAGAAGAGTTAATACCTATAGCTAATACCTGTACTCCTCAAAGTGTTCCACATAATAGAAACAGAAGGAACATTGTCAAACACTTTTTTATGAGGCTACAGTGATCCTGATTCTGAAACCACATAAATGCTCAACCAAGAAAGTATTACAGACCAATCTCATTCATAGTCATAGATGCAAAAATACTCAATAAAATACTTGCAAACCAAAATCCAAGAATAGATTAAAAAAATCATCCACCATGATCAAGTCAGCTTCATCCCAGAGATACAGGGATGGTTCAACATACAAAAATCTATCAATGTAATCTACCATATTAATAAACTGAAAGAAAAAAAAGCCATATGATCATCTCATTAGATTCTTAAAAATTATTTAACAAAATCTAACACCCCTTCTTGATAAAGGTCATGGAGAGATCAGGGATACAAGAAACATATCTAAACATAATAAAAGCAATATACAGCAAGCTGACAGCCAACATCAAATTAAATGGAGAGAAACTCAAAGCAGTTCCACTAAAATCAGGAACAAGACAAGGCTGTCCACTCTCTCCATATCTATTCAGCATAGTTCTTGAAGTTCTGGCTAGAGCAATAAGACAACAAAAGGAGATCAAGAGGATGGATTCAAATTGGAAATTAAGAAGTCAAACTTTGCTATTTGCACATAATATGATTGTATACATAAGTGACCCCAAAACTCTACTAGAAAACTCCTACAGCTGATAAATACTTTCAGTAATGTGGCAGAATACAAGATTAAATTAAAAAAATCAGTAGCCCTCCTATATAGAAATGATAAAGAAGCTGAGGAAGAAATGAGAGAAACATCACCCTTCACAATAGCCACAAATAACATAAAATATCTTGGGGTAGCACTAACCAAAGAAGTGAAAGACCTGTTTGACAAGAACTTTAAGTCTTTGAAGAAAGAAACTGAAGAAGATACCAGAAAGTAGAAAGATCTCCCATGCTCTTGGATAGGTAATATCAACATAATAAAAATGGCAATCCTACCAAAAGCAATCTATAGATTCAATGCAATCCCCATCAAAATTCCAACACATTTCTTCACAGACCTTGAAAGAACAATAATCAACTTCATAGAAATACAAGAAACCCTGGATAGCCAAAACAATCCGTGCAATTGGCACCACTATCCCTACATCAGCTCTATTATAGAGCTACAGTAATGATTTTTTTGTTTGTTTTTGTTTTTTGAGACATAGTTTCTCTGTAGTTTTGGATTTTGTCCTGGAACTAGCTATTGTAGACCAAACTCACAGAGCTCCACATATCTCTATCTCTCAAGTGCTAGGATTAGAGGCATGCACTACCACTGCTGTGAGTTTGAGGCCAGCTTGTCCTGCAGGACAGGATTCAAAACTACAAAGAAACCCTGTCACAAAAAAACTAAACAAGCCAAGCTACAGTAATGAAACAGTGTGGTATTGGTATAAAAACAGACAAGTCGACCAATGGAATAGAATTGAAGACCCAGATGTTAATCCACACACCTACAAACACCTGATTTTTGACCAAGAAGCTAAAATTATACAATGGAAAAAGAAAGCATCTTCAACAAATGGCGCTGGCATAACTGGATGTCAACATGTAGAAGAATTAAAATAGATTGATATTAATCCCCATACACAAGATTCAAGTCCAAAGGCATCAAAGGACACAATATAAATCCGACCACACTGAACCT